AAAGGTCACTGACCTTTCGAGCGCACCTGGACACTTCGCATGACTACTTAACGCCCTGCGAGCAAGAATTATCTAACAAGAACATTCTAAAGCACTGATAAAGATGCGGTAGAAGGGAGGGGGAGGATGCGAAAGGCTTTGCATCATATGACTGCGAAACTATGTGAACTTAACTAAAACAGCATAATATCAATAAAACAAAGGTCGGTTGAACATGTGAACCTACTGTATCAATGCAAGACACGTCGCACTGGGAGGGTTCAGGCTCAGTTTTAATCACTTAAGCTTCTTTAGTGCATAATTAAAGAACTGAGTGAGATGATCAACACACAGAACTATAGATAACTCGACACCCACGATGCCGTGTGCTTTCTGTTCTGTTCTAACTGTTTCGCTGTGGAAAGGTTGAGATCCATATTGACTCGCTTACTCCATACCGATACGTAACAATACTGAATGGTACCCTTACATAAACAACCAGAAAAGCGCGCGCAAACACACACACACACACACACACACACACACACACACACACACACACACACACACACGCACGCACACGCGCACCCCACGCACACCCACGCACACACACACACACACACACACACACACACACACCACGCACGCACACGCACACACACACACGCACGCACCCCCACACACACCCACGCACACACACACACACGCACACACACCACACACACGCACGCACACACACACGCACACACACACACACACGCACCCCCACACACCCACCCACGCACACACACACACACACACACACACACGTACACACACACGCACACACACACACGCACACACACACACACACGCACCACTCACAACCACACACGCACGCACACACACACGCACACACACACGCATACACACGCACACACACACGCATACACACGCGCACACACAATAGCACCCTGAAACTAGTTGAAACAACATGACAATGTACAGTTTGCTTGCAGCTGTTCACACTGTCGTAAACTGTTCACACGCACATCTCTCTATTTCTACTCTCGGTGTATGCACTAACACATCATTTCATATATGTCAACCCCTGGCTGTATATCACAAGCGCTTATCCAGCGTGGTCTCCAATGACAAATCCGTCAGGAATATGTTCGCCTTTTTCTGAAGATGCACCTCAGGGCATAGTCCGAGTAATTTCTTTAATGTAAGGGGCCGTCTGTTCGAAGTTGCTCATTTGTTCCTTAATTTTTTTCTTTCATTTGCGTACTTTACGCGCTCCAAAAGAATATAGCGAACATTTTCTTTTGCGTCACCACAAAGGTATTACGGGGAGTTGTATCGATGTATTTTGTGCAGGAACCTGTTTGTGTATGTTACCTCCAGTCAAAGTCTGCGGATTAATGTCTTGAAGTGTCGTGGGATATCTGTGATAAGTGTCGTGGGAGGCAGACAGCCTCGCCAAGAAAGCGTTGAATGAAGGACGGGATTGCCCAATCCCTACGTCTGGGGCGGATATTCGACATTCTATAACGCAAGGAGCTAACCATTGTTATATGGAGAAGCGCTTTGATAGCCCTAAGTAAAAGGAATCAGTACGTGAAGTTGATTCGCACAGAAAATTTTTGATAGCCGTGCTCTTTCGTTGTGCAGTAGAATGAAAAGTTGGGCTAGTTGGAATATTTGCATGATTTATGCAGCGCTAAATACGAAGACGTAAGAGATAGAGCACAGGACGAGCGCCGGGACGAGCATCGAGATAGAGTGCACTCTTGCATTTTACTATTTTACTTCTTCGTCTTTATAGCGCTACATCAATCATGCTTTCTTTATGGGCTGCCGTTTCTTAACGAGTACAAACTAGCCCAATTATCCACCCTAACACAAACCACAGCACTGCGCAAGCGTAAATTTAAGGGCTCGTTTTCTTTGTTAGAAACGATATTATAGAAATAACCAACAATAATACCAAGGAAGTATAGAGGATATTATTAGAAGTAATTGTAATGCATATATAAAGAAAGAAAATCGGACGATATGATAACTTGCTACCGTGAGGGTCTGTACCTTCGACCTTCGAATAACGCGTCCGATGCTCTATCACTGAGCTATGGTGGCGCCTTTTTCCCTGTCCACTTTATATAGGGTATATATGTACTTGTACTTCATCTCTACCAGTACTTGATCAGGAAATTAGAAAGGGCGCAAAACTTGGCCTTGAGGTTTATATACACTACATACTGGCGTTTTTCTAGTGTGTCAGTTCTTCGCGACAGGGCCAAATTGGAAAAACTATAGCTCATCACAGAACTGTATCTTGCTTAAAATTTTTTATATCAGCTGTACCACGGTCACTACAAAATACCACGTGAAAACTACGCAACTGAACCCCCCCCCCCCCCCCGCTTCCCATGCGATCCGGTCGTACAAACCACAACAAAACAATCAAGCAGCCGCTTAGTAATATTAATATACATCAGTATTCCATTTGTCCACATCTATATTACAATGGACTAAATTACCCGAAGAAGTAGTAAACGCTAACACAGCTCAATCATTTGTTCAATTTTATATAACCTTTCGTTTGATATGTAAAGTTCTGTTTATGCTGAACAGCTTTGTTGCAGTTGATTCCCGTGTTTTTCACTTTTTGCACAGTGTTCATATCTCATGTGTTGAAATATTGTGCGTGCATATTTTATCATTTATAACGTTTTGTGTTCGTTATTGCGAAGCATATTTATTTATTCATTTTCTTTTGCTTGTTAATTGTGGTTTACTACTTAAGTTGTCGATAGTTCTAAGCTTTATTGTTGGTCTTGTTCTTAATGATATTACCACTCCTGCTTGGGCCCGAGTATGCCTGCAGTATTTGTAAATAAATAAAAAAAATATGTAAATTGATTTTTCACATAACACTACACTCACTTCTTCTCACAATCATCATCATTGTCATCGTCTTAATATACATCAGTATTCCATTTTTCCACATGCTATATCACAATGAAATAAAAATGAAATAAATTACCCCAAGAAGTAGTAAACGCTAACACAGCTGAATCATTTGTTCAATTTTTAAATAACCTTTCGTTAGATATGTAAGGTTCTGTTTACGCTGAACAGTAAAGTGGAATGCGTCTTTCCTGTCGAGTGCTTTTCCTTCTACCTTGTGCGCTCATATATTTCCACATTATGCTGAACAGCTTTGTTGCAGTTGATTCCCGAGTTCACTTTTTTATGCATAGTGTTCATCTTATGTGTTGAAATATTGTACGTGCATATTTTATCATTTATAACGTTGTGTGTTTGTTATTGCGAAACATCTTTATTTATTCATTTTATTTAGCGTGTTAATTGTGGTTTACTGCATAAGTTGTCGATAGTTCTAAGCTTTATTGTTGGTATTGTTTTTAATGATATTCCCACTCCAGCTTGGGCCCGAGTATGCCTGCAGTATTTGTAAAAAAATAAAAAAAAATATGTGAATTGATTCTTCACATTACACTACACTCATTTATTCCACTCATCATCATCATCATCATGATTACGTCCACTGCAGGACAAATGCCTCACCCATGTTAAAACGGTCAATCAGGTCCTGTGTTTTCCGCTGCCACTTTATACCCGCAAACATCCTAATCTCATTTGCCCACGTAACTTTCTGTCTCCCCTTCCTCGGCTTATCTTCTCTTGGAATTCTGTCCGTGATACTTTAGACCAGTAGTTATCCTCTCTACGCAATGCATGTTCGGCCCGTGTTCATTTCCTCTTCTTGATTTCAACTATGATATCACTGACCCCAGTTTGTTCCCTGATCCACTCTGCTCTCTTCTTGTCCCTTAGAGTTACACCTATCACTTTCCTCTCCATTGTTCGCCGCGTCGTCCTCAACGCAAGTTCAACCCTCTTTGTAATCCTCCAGGTTTCTGCTCCGTAGCCAAGGAACGGCAAGATGCAGCCGCTATATACTTTCCTCTTAAGGGATAGTGGCAATCTACCATTCACGATTGGAGAATGCTTGCCGAACGTGCTCCACCTAATTCTTTATTTTTCTAGTTACTTCGATCTCGCGGTTCGGCTCCGTGGATACTACCTGCCCTAAGTATACGTACTCTTTTACAACTTCATGTGCACTGATATGTACTTCGAAGCGCGGTTCTCTTTCGGAATTGTTGTACATTACTTTATTTTTCTGCCAGGGGCGTAGCCAAAGGGTGGTACAACGGGCACGCCACCCTCCCTTCCCGAAAAAATTTTTTTTCGCCAAAGTATAAAGAGCGAAAAATGGCCATTTCAAGGCGGTGCCCCTCCCGAAATCAAAGTAGTGCCCCCCCCCCCCCTCCCCCAAATAAATTTCTGGCTACGCGCCTGTTTTCTGCAGATTAATTTTAAGAGCTACCTTTGAGTTTTCATTGTCTAATTCAGTTATCGTGAATTGCAATTCATCTTCTGAGTTACTCAGCAATGTAATGCAGTCGGCGAAGCGCAGGTTACTAAGGTACTCTACATTAACTCTTATTCCTAACTCTTCCCATTCTAGGCCTTTGAAAACCTCCTGTAAGCATACGGTAAATAATATAGAGGAGATCGTATACCCCCTTGCTTTACACCTTTATTTATTGGTATTCTGTCACTTTCCTTGTGGAGCACTATGGTGGCAGTCGATCCCAAGTATCATCTTACATATGGCATCCCCGAAAATTTCCCTGACATTATTGTCAGTTAGTTTTCAGAAATACGCAAGCGGTATAGCACTGCATGAGAAGGACCAACACATCGAAATATGAAGAACTGGACGACACCCTCGATGTTGGGCACTTTCGTCGCGTTCTGCCCATTCTGAACGAGCCCGAACCAGCCTAATTACCAACTCTAGTCAACACAAGCCACACACAAGCGTCACCGAATTACGCCCTCTTTCAAACGCTATGTTGCGCTGTAGCAAGTTCCTCGAGATCGGGGTGGCTGTAATCTTTTTCCCGCTTCGCTACGTGTGTCAACCGTAAGAACGGCGACCTTACCTTGCAGCCGTCGCGTTGTTGTTCTTGGAGGAGTCCATGCTTGCGGCAGCGATGGCGAAAATTCGGGCTCCGTAAGCGGCGTCGCTACACTTTAGCACGTGCACTCGCTACCGGTCCAAGCAGCGGTCTGCGGACAAGGAGAGCGAAGACGCCAGTCAGCTGTAACTCAGAATGTTCGAGAAATACCACTCCCCCATGCTCTCTCTCTCTCTCCCTCTGCCCAAGTAGGCGAGAGATAATACAACAATAATAAAAGAGCCAATGTATTCTAAGCCGCGTCCGGCTCCCGTCGCTTTAAGCACTTTCCCTGTCGTTATTGCCACTTTTCTCTTCCTGACGTCCGTCTCCTCTCCCCTCATCTCGACGACACGGGCTGACCTTGCGTTACGCCCTGGCGAGAGCGTTAACGCACCACGCTCTCCACTGCCTGTTGTCATCGTCAGCTGGTGCACTCCTCACCCTATCGTCGTGCAGTTCAACGGTGAGCGGGAAATTTGAAACGAATGGAACGAATCTTCATTCATTGTCGTTTTTTTGGCAATGTCTGCGGTCTTGAATGTCAGAACCACGATGTGATTTTGAGGCGCGCCATACCGGAGGTCTCCGGAAATGTTGACCCTTCGGTGATCGGTAATGTGCATTCATATTGCGCAGTACACGAGCCTCTCAGTCTCCGTAGAATTGTGACGATTGGGGTCGGTAGTCACTGTCGAGACGGCAGTCCAGCCCCGTATTTACTGGGCATTGAGGGGAACTTATTCTTGTTTTTGGCCCAGGAAGCTTCAATACCTAGATTTCCTCCCCGAATCAATCGTTGTTTCAGAACAAGCTATCTTAGCGGATCGAGTCGAATACCGATTAATTTTTTTTATTTAATTTCAAAGCAATCTTGAAAAAATGAATGACCTTAAAAGCGTTAAAGAGCGGATGCACGGTCTGACGAGGGGACAAAGTCTTCATTCCTGTACAAATTAAATACGTCTCTGCAATGTGGACTGAGCCAGAAGATTACTGCCCGTTTGACATACTACAGCATTATCTACACGTAGAAATTGCGCATAAAGGCCTCACTTTCTGCGCCGGGTCAAGCGGAAGAAATTTCCACACTGCAGTAACTGATAATTCTGCGGCATCAGAGGAATATATCATCAAAAAGAGCACCCAAATGAAGAAGCAGTGTATCAAACTACGGGATCGGTTGAACATACCCAGTAAATGACATTTCACATTTGGCAAGCGGTTGCACAGTGGCCACTTCCTGGCAACCTGAGAGGGATCGCTCTTTGCAATATTTAAAAAAAGATGCAAATTGAACAGTCTGGCTATTACTGACATTACTGTGTGTATTCTACATAATATGGTGTTAATGGGAAGACTTCACGGTAATTTTGTCTTCGAATGCAAGAAAATATTTGCATATACTCCATCTACCCTAATCTAGATGACCAGCCTTATAAAGTTTGGATTCTTGTCTACAGAAACGTTCTTCGTGCTCTGCTGATGGTACGTGCGCATTAGGTTCTCTCTTGCAAAATGAAACGTGAATTTCGTAATACTAAGACAACTGGATCCAGCGCAGCCTACCTTTCCATTATTTGAGAAAAAAGAACGTTTATGACGACGACGACGACGACAACAACAACAACAACAACAACAACAACAACAACAACAACAACAACAACAACAACAACGACGACGACGACGACGACGACGACGACGACGACGACGACAACAACAACAACAACAACAACAACAAAAACAACAACAACAACAACAATTTAATATGACCTGCCGATGGACGCAATTCGAACACTAAAACAGCTAGCAAAAATATTTTATTTCTCTTCCTATGCACTTATTCACTGGTTCTTATGTTCATGACAATTCATTCCAGGTTTACGCTTTCGGACAAAATACCGGGAACTAACTCGATTTTATATTAGTCTAGAAAACAGATGAATGTGAAGATAAAATAATAGTATCATAGCGTGTACCTAAATACAACTTCGTGACGCGAGTACTTCACGTTCTTTTAGATTCTCGTGAGGTGACATTTTGGAGACTTCGAAAAACCGCCGCCTAAAGCACCCTGCCGGGGGCCATTGGTTAATTTTGTCCGGTGGTAAAGGTACTCTGATCGAAACGAAATGCAAATGAAGTTAGCGCATCAAGACGCCTCCCTGATTGAGAAGATACTGTCGCTAAGTTTGGTGGATATCCAGCACGTTAAGTTGCAAAAGTGCACTTCGATGTATTGTGGATTTCTAAACGTTCGTTTTAGCAAGTTCGCAGTAACAGCTAACAATGTCTCGCGAGCATGGAACCCTGTTTTAAAGAAATCTTTCAGTTCCCTAGAATTGAAAACAGCAGTTTGCCAAAAGTAATCTTGGTAATACAAATGTCGTGAAGATACCATCATTCAGGCAATAAAAACAAATTCGAAGGCTTTAACTCGAAGGTTTTAACTCGAAGGCTTTAACTTTAAAGGTAAACTCGAAGGCTTTAATGCACCATCATATATGAAGGACGCATGTTGGAGTAGCACGGCGGATGAGTAGTAGCGCTTGTAGATTTCTTGCTTAAGTTTGTGCCCACGAATACATCCGCATTTTGTCGTCATTAAAATGTGTCCCCTGTGGAATCGAATATGCGACCATGCGCTGGACACAAGAAAACGATTTACCATTCACGATGGAACAGTTGTTCATACAGCATACCGAAAAAAAAAACTTTGTATTTTATAATGTATAGAGTATCTTCGAGTAGATCAGTCAAAGAATTTGTTTAGAAAAAGTGTTTAACGATGTAGAGTACATGGTACTCTATCATGGGAGAGCAGAACTCCATCCCAGTTTGCAGCATAACCCAGAACAGGTGTGCTATGAAAGTAAAGATATGTCTTCGTACACTTTTAATGTTCACAGCGTTGTTATGGTAGTATTTTATGCTTAGTGTCACTTGGAATGACTCGAATTCTCGATGCCATTTTTTGACCGACATTTGTATAGTAAAGAATTTGCAAAAAAAAAAAAACTAGCCGAATTATTATGATACTGCAGACTGTCACAGCAAACCTTGCAATAAAAATGACAGCGCTGACATTTTGCGCTTTCGTTGTGACCATAATGCATAACTACTGTGATTATCGCCATCGTATTCATGTACGTGGAAACTCGAACGCCTCTCAGACGCACACTTCGAGTTCCTGCACCCCGCACGGCACGTGCTAACATCGACTTCAAGCTCTGCTGATAGAACGCTAATACTAAGACGCGTCCGAACGTGTCTACACTACGTATTGCGAAGCGCGTTCCTGCCAGAATAACTAAGGGCACCGTCCGCTTGCGCAAACGACCCAGAAATAACAGAAACGCTTGCCAAGCTTCACTCAATGCTGAACCTAAATTCCGATCTCGTCACACTCGCTCAGTAGTCAATGAGCTCATCCTTCTGCATCTTAACCATTACCGCTTGATATATCCGTCGTAATTTTATTTCCAAGGCCCTTGGCTTTCGTTCAACTACATTAAACCTCCAAGCAGAAGCCCGTGAAGGCGTCTAGGGTGTAGTATCTCTATATGCCGACAATGCGGCGAAACAATCGCTTTCACCGACCACGCCGGATAGATAGATAGATAGATAGGTAGATAGATAGATAGATAGATAGATAGATAGATAGATAGATAGATAGATAGATAGATAGATAGATAGATAGATAGATAGATAGATACGCTCAAAGCCGCTGAAGTTCTCTAAATATGCTTCGCATTTAATTAGGGACCGAAAATAACGAAATTCGTTCAGTTCGAACAGAAATTGACATTATACAATGCCTTGACTGTGACATGTAGTCATGTTCTTACATGACACGCCTCTCATGATTATCATGTTTGCACTAGTCACATACCTTCGTCATCCATTGGCGTCATGTAATACCAAATTTGGCATATGTGAAGCTAGCGAAACGGCCGCGAGCGCATCATCAGTGTGGCATGTACTCATGTTGTTACATGACACGCATCCCATGTTTATGATGTTTGCACCAGCATCATACCTTCGCATCCATTCACGTCCCGTAATACAAAATTTGGTATAAGTGAAGCTATCGAAACGGCCGCCAGCGCATCATGAGTGTGGCATGTAGTCATGTTACATGACACGCATCTCAAGTTTATCATGTTTGCCCCAGTATCATATCTTCGTCATCCATTCACTTCCCGTAATACCAGATTTGGTATAAGTGAAGCTAGCGAAACGGCCGCTAGCGCATGAGCGTGGCACGTAGTCAAGTTGTTACATCACACGCATCCCATGATTATCATGTTTGCACTTCATGCACCTTCGTCATTCATTCACGTGCCGTAATACCAAATTTGGTATATGTGACGCTAGTGAAACGGCCGCGAGCGCATCATGAGCGTGGCCCTAATGTTGTTACATGACACGCATATCATGATTTTCATGTTAGGGTTTGTCGCTTGTGTTCGCCATGCAATCTTGTCATACAATACCAGTTTTGCAACATGCCATGTGAACAAAACCACCGCGAGAGTTGCAGGACCATGAAATGTAAATCATCACATTCATAACATGCATGTCATGATTTTCATGTTATGGTTAATCAAATATGTTCTTCATAGAGCCATGTTATGCCATACCAAGTTCGGTATCGGTACCATTATCGAAACGGCCAGGAGAGCTATAGACATGTCGTAGGCGGCTATTTAGATAGATAGATACGCTCAAAGTCACAGAAATTCGCTAAGAAATGCTTCGCATTTAAAACAATATTTTTACCTGCTCCTTCTATCTAGCTTCCGAAGGTTCAGAATACGACGCACGCAGTTTAGCGATATACGAGAACAAAGTGCTTCGTTTTTTTTTCTTTTTTTTTGCATTGACAGCTGTTTAAAAGTGGTACCAAGGCTAAAGACATTTAAGGGTGCCACTTATAACGCTAAATATGAGACTTGCTTGGTCAGACGTTACTTAATGGTCCCGAATAGTTTACAGCTGGAGATGGACTGGTTTCGCGCGCCATGCAGCATTCCAACCTGCAGAGGGTAAACCACGCGCAATGCGTCGCCGACACACTTCTTTTGCAACGGCTAAGGGTCATGTCCACATACCTCAAGTCGCTGGATTCCAATTGCCTAATTATCGTCAAACACGTGTTCTAT